AGTTCAGTCATTGTTGGATTAAACACACACACACACACACACACACACACACAACACACACACAACACACACACACACAGATAAATATATATTTTAATAAAGGTGCTTTACACATGAAAACCTTCCAACTTAAAGAAAGGAAACCTTCAACTGTTTCATTAATGGTAGTTATCTTTTCATTTAAAGTATTCTTATTGAAAGGCAGAACGTAAAAAAGCTGTTTCATTGAAGAAGGCTTTCTGTTCTCAAGAAGTAAATATATTCATTAGATGATTAAAGAATGTCAATTTGGAAGAAAGGGAACATAAATAAGAACATATCCAATTGGATAAAATGGGTAATGATAAGGGATGATAGACTGTCCTATACCCTATTGTCAGTTATAACATCTGTAATGTACTCCAATTTCATGCTGAGTAAAGAACTTTTTGTGTGTATCATTTTATTCCAAGAAAGAAATATTTTTTAGTGTTGAGACAAAAAAATTATTCGACAATTGGAACTTTTAATCTGTGATATGTTATTCTCCCTATCAAATCAAAATTTTACCAACTGATATAAACAACTCAAACCAACTCTTTGATCTCCGCATCTAGTCAAATTTGCCATACAGTGATCTAGAACCAAAGAAAGTACTCCCTCCATTTCAATTTGTTTGTCTTGTTTTCCTTTTCTTAGTCCATTTAAAAAAGAATGCCCTTTTCTTTTTTTGGCTACTCTTTAATTCTAACTTTTCACATGACATGTTTAGGACCACTATAGATTAAAAGACATTTTGGTACATTCCACATATCTTTGATTTAAGATCACAAGATTCAAAAGTCTTCTTTATTTTCTTAAACTCTGTGCCAAGTCAAAACCAGACAAACAAATTGAAACGGAGTTAATTATTTCATAAAAAGAGCACTAGAAAGAAACATTTTCAATCTTGGGCAAACATCATTTCTGCCTAAAAGGATGTGGTGTATTGTTATGTATCTTTAGATGTGATATCTCATCTTTGCAGTTTTTACAATAGGTGATTTTGACGTAGTAAGAGTTTTTCTATACATATGTTTTGGTGCTTTTCTTTTTGTCTCAGTAAGTTCCTGACTTTTCTTTTGTTCTCCCTTTCTTTTGGTACCTTAAACCAGATACGCTGACCTGAAGAACAACAGGTTGACCAATTACACCTTCAATTTTGATCAGATGCTTAGTGATAAGGTATGTGAATGGATATCGTTTCATGAAATGAATAGATCTGTTAATCATTTTCAACAGGTTATTCGACCCAATTTCAATTCTTCAAATTGATCAGATTTCTTGCAAAGTCATTTGGCTCCTCTTTAAATTCTTTTAGTTTATACAGAAACAACTCAGTTATTCCATTCACTTGGTTTATAATTGAAGCACAAGAGTCTTTACATGCTCTTTTAACTGATTTTGTTTTTGAGGAGTCCATGTTTTTCATTTTGTGGTTGTTCTCTATCTGTAACGGACGTGTTCTCTTAGTTACTTATTTTTGCTGCATCCTTTTCTGTTCTGTTTCTCTGTTCAGAATTGATTCTCTTGTATTCTTCTGTGATTGGCAGGGAAATACCGCTGTTTATTTGCTCTATGCACATGCTCGTATTTGTTCAATCATCAGGAAGTCTGGTAAAGATATAGAGGAGTTAAAAAAGGTAATCTGATAATCTCATCTATTTTATGTGCCCCAACTGAACTCTTCTTTGTCAAGAGTTTCGTCCACGGGTTAGTCGGGTGGGCCGAATAACCTTTCAACCGTTTGCTTTTAGGCCCCTTTATGGCCACCCAAAAATTCTTGAAGTAGGCAAACACATGATAACATGGTAGTTTGTTAATGTTAAACAGATATTTCAGTACGACAGCATACCCAGTGAAATCTGGGAACAGAAATGGAATAACATGAAACTCTCCCAGAGTAATACTACTATTACTAGTATGAAAGACTAAGCCGATTCTCAACTACCCAACTTACCCTCTACCCTAATCTGTGTCATCCATAATCTCTATCTTAAGCTCATCTCCTTGGTAAGCTGAAGCTGCGTCATGTCCTGTCTAATCACATGTCCCCAATACTTCTTCAATCTTCCTCTGCCTCTCCTATAACCATCCATAGCCAACCTCTCACACCTTCGCACTGGTGCATCCGTGCAACAGATATTTCAGTAATGTTAAAATTACAAGAGTGATGTAGAATTACTATTTGTGGTGCTTATCAATTCATTTTCGCTGGACAGAGTGCGGCAATAGATTTGGCTCATCCAGATGAACGTATGCTAGGCCTCCATTTGCTCCAGTTTGCTGAAGTAAGAATTTATTAAATCTTGTTATCACTTAATGGTTTCTTATTGTTTCTGCATAGTTCTAATCAAGTAAAAATTTTGTCGTCTCTTTTGCAGATTGTTGAAGACGCTTGTACCAATCTTTCGCCACACTTGGTGTGTGAATATCTTTACAATATATCTGAAGACTTCACTAAATTCTATACCAACTGTCAGGTATGAAATTTTCCTACCAGCAAATAAAGCTATGAACCAAAGAAATCGTGAAACAAATACTATGTGCCTCCTATAAACCTGTCACTAAAGTTGCTATAGACCAGCTTGACCCACTAGTGGAACACCAAATAACTATAGTTCATTGTCTAAGATTCATGAAAATCTTGAATATAGAAACCATTTAGGCTGTGCTGTAGGATGAGTTAAGATCCAGCTAGGAAAAAGGGTTAGCCTGAAGCAGTGGTTTAGCCAATGGGGGAACGTGCATCGGTTGGATCTCTTAGAATAGTTGTTCCAATCCGAGAGTCTATCCCAACATGGAGAACTCATCCACTACATCTAATTAAGGATTAGAGCTTGTTTGGATGATTTATAGCTCAAAAGCACCTAATATAAGCCAATCCAAACAAACAATCTTCAGTAGAGAGCGTTTTACCCATAGCAAGCCTCTCTAGTGCGAATTTAGATTAGTTGGACCAATGGCTTTGGATACTCGATAGTTAAACGAAAATATATACTGTTAGAATAAATATGCAATAGCTTGCATTTATGAACACATTTCGGAACTTTTGCAGGTCGTTGGCTCGGCCGAGGAAACAAGCAGACTCTTGCTGTGTGAGGCAACAGCAGTTGTCATGAGAAAGTGTTTCCATCTGCTGGGAATCACTCCTGTTTACAAAATTTAACCTCAATATGAGTTTTTTTTTTTTGGGTACTTTTCTTTCTTCCTCTGTTTAGTTTTAGTATTGAAATGAAATATATTTGAACAGAGCAAAAATATTACAGAGTGTTTATTGTATTTGATTTTCACTACTTATAAATTGATGGGAAAAATATTGATTTATTCATTTCGAGCACATTTACTAGTTTGCCATTAATGAAAATGCAACGAGTACTAGTCATCGCTCATGCCCTAGCCTAGTTTGGGGGCCAACGGAGTCGTTTGACCTGGAAAATTAGTGGACTAGTACAAAAAAAATGTTTAAAATCGTTAACTCAATCTATTTTAATTCGTCAAATTGTATATTTAATATACCTAATTATTTCCTTTTAAAGGACATATTAGGCGTTTAGACATGAATCAAATCCTAAAATCTTTTTTTTTTCTGATTGAGGTTGAAATAATGGATAAATTTGATAAACAAATATATATTCAAAATGATTTATAAATGTCTTTTCAATTTTTTTTTTAAAAATATGTATGGGGACCTAAGGGATCCTTTAGATTTTATTTCAGAATTCAGATTTTTTTGTACTGAAGCTTAGTCGTGTCTCACATTTGGGACCTACTCCCTCTACATAACAAGATGTAAGCTTATCGATATGAGTTGTGGTGGGATGATTAAGGTTCCTTCGTTAGATTTTAGGTTTTGAATTTTAAAAAATAAAAAAACTTTTTGAGAACGCTTTTTCTAAATAGGCGCTGCAACACGTTATTTGAGTTTAATTAGATTTTAATATGAATACTAAACATCGAATAAAAAAAAAGACCTAACTTTATGAATTATGAAATACACAAAAACTCAAATGAAAAAGGTACCTCAATAATTCACTAGTTGGGACAACTTGATTTAACATATACTCCATTATTCATATATTATGAGTTCTAGAAATTACGAGTTAATCCTAAAAATGTTTTTTTTTCTTTCTGTTGGTGGGATTAATTGATTTAATGCTAAAGATCAATAATTTTTCTTTAGAAACAACTTCTACGAAGATAGACATAATAACATGATTAATTTAACAAATCTCATTATACTAACTACACAATTGCATTCTCTATTTGTTCTTTTCATGTTCTTTGCGATGAATCAAAACCTCGAAAGTTTCTATTTGAGGGCAAAATGGTAATTTTATCGAATCCGTATGCTTCATATTTTGAACTTCTAAATACTTCTAATTTTGGAGAATTTAAATTCAATGAACATGAAATGTTATATCAGTAACTACAAATGTATATTTCTTAAAATTATTTGATTACATACACAAAATACAATGAATCACCATAGAAAATTATGATAGGCTGATAAGCATTTCTTCATTTAAAATTTAATATTTTAGGTCGAATCTTGAGAATAGTCTATTTGGATAGGGAGGGAGCATTCAATTTTGAATGTGTAACTTTTTTATGGGAATATAAATAAATTGGAACTCCAATTTTTTTTGAGGATAGAGTATAAATATCTCTTCATTCTTGAGTAGGGTGTAATCAAATATATCGTGTTCTAATTCTAAGAATGAAATCACCTTATATAGATAGCAAAACACACTTCAATGTTTAATTGACGTATACGCATTGTGTTTTTGACCATTAACTCGTATTATAGTTTAGTATTTATACTTTCCTTGTGGTTGTGGGGAACAAACATGCTAATATGCCAAAACATAACTGTACACAATTTATTTTTAATTAAAGCTGCGGAATCGAGGATAATTCTCTCAACTCCATTTGATAATATATTCTTGAATCCGCTAACACTGTCCGACACACAGCTCTGTACTATTTTTGCAGTGGCTACAGTCTTCTTGAGCTCACAAAGAGCCGTTGTGATAAAAAGTGTATTTGCCTAATAAAGAGAAAGCACATTTCTTGAGGTAAATAAAGAGAAGAAGAAGATTCATAGAGGCAAAGTTGGTGTGGAGAAAGTAGAATGGCAAGAGGATTTAGTATCATATTTGCAGCTTCTGTGCTCTTAGTGATTCTTGGTAATTACTTGTACCCTTTTTGTTTGTTTTAGTGAAAAGTTTAGATTTTTTTGAGTGATGAGCTGAATATTGTGTGTTGTTAATGGTTCTTGGTAGTTGTACTTATTACCCTTTTCATTTCTTTAGTAAAAAGTTCAGATTTTTTTAAGTGATGAGCTTGAGCTATTAATGATTTTTGGTAGTTCTATCCTTATCAGTTTTTTCATCAAAAGTTCAGATTTTTATGAGTGATGAGCATCATTGTTCTTTAATGCTTCTTGCTACTGTTACAGTTTTCATTTGTTTAATCAGAAGTTCAGATTTTTTTGAGTGATGAGCTTCATTGTGATGATTCTTGGTAGTTGGTACTTGTACCCTTATCAGTTCTTTAGTAAAAAGTACAGATTTTTTGAGTGATGAGCTTCATTGTTCTTAATGCTTCTTGGTACTTCTAGACTTTTCATTTCTTTTATCAAAAGTTTAGATTGTTTTTTGAGTGATGTTTGATTAAATGGTTCTTGATGATACATTTCACTCATATTTAACTATTTGTTTCAGTTGTGTGGTTCATTATTGTATTAATCACAAGTGTTAATCATTTCCTTCACTTTCATACCCCTCAAACTAATGTAGCTGTATTTGGTGTATGTAACTATTTTGTGGCAGAAAGATAAAATTTTTGTAGTTAGCTTTGACCAGCTTATTATACCTTGCTTCATTTGGGGGATTCATTTTAATAGTAATAGCATATTTTTGCTCTTACTGATTTTTGGTACTTCTACTCTTTTCATTTCTTTAGTCAAAATTGCAGATTTTTTTTCTTTAGGCAGGCTCTTGATGATAATTTTACTCATATTAACTCCTTGTTTCAGTTTCCAGTGCTATAATCAAAAGTGTCGATCATTATATTTAGTGTATGTAACTATTTCTGGCATAAAAATTAATTTTTGCAGTAAACTTTGACAAGGTTATGCTTTGCTTCATTTGAGGTTTTCATTTAAAAAATCTAATCTGTATTGAAATGAAGAAAATACCATGTGTTTACCCCTGCTTATGCTGTGTATATTGACTTAAAGGAAATATACAACTTTGGTTTTTTGGTCCACTTTGTCCTCTTATAGTTGATCTTATTACTGTTTGTCTGTTTTCCATTACTTCTGTTTTTTGTATGTGGTTCATTTCCATGGCTTGTGTAAGTATTACAACATGTGAAAAACGACAGAACTTGTTAGCTGTGATCCACTATATATGCATTATTGTGTTGTAATTGTTTCTGACTACTTTGAATATGGTGGTTGCATTTTGAATGCTGTTCTTTTCTAGCTTTATTAGTGATGTTGATTGCATTTGTAATGGTTTCGAGATTCCTCTTCACAACTAGCTATTATCTGCTAAAACCTCAAATTATAATTGGACTTGAGGAGGTTAGGGAAGTTGGTTCTAAGCAGCGCAGTCAGGATATTCGTTTAGCCTTAGGGGTGTCAAGATATAAAGGAGTAAACCGACGAAGAAGTCAAGAGGAGTCAATATATAGTATATATACATAAGAAAGACTTCTTTACCTAGCTATACATGTAATTTTCCGACAATGGGGTGTCAATTGATGAGACCCTTGAATACATGTGGCTCCACCTCCGGTTCTAAGTACTAGATTGCATACAAGTTTCAATCTTTAACGAGCAACGAAGAATGAACTTAATAGTCAAATGAATTCATTCACCTGATTACTTCTTTTTGTCCGTGCCCCACATTGCAAATCAGAGCATTCTGTTTTCTTGGGTTGTACTTTTTTCATTGAGGTGAATGGTCTCTTATCATCATTTCACTGGACCACTCCAGAAAATGTGTCGAAAGGGCTATGCTTGAGTAAATCATGCTGACCAACTATATTAGCGAAAGTCAACTACTGATACCTTCTCGTTAGTAAGACTTCTTTTGGTTATGTAGATATATGTATCTTAGTCAGATAACATCTAGTTAAAGGGAGCATTACTTTTGTCTTTATTGAATAATGAAATGATTTGTGTGTGTGGGGGATTTGTTTTAGTTGTTGAAAAAGCGAAAAATATATAGACAGTAACAATTAAGCTGCAAAATGACAGCAAATAATGATGCATATGCCTAAACCTTTGCCCGGGACATCATAATTTGGTTACTTTAGCGTTTGTCCATGTCAGAATGTGTTATATGTTGTGTATTACCAATGGTAGTTCGTCTGAATATCCCTGAGCTGACTGCTGACCATTCTTCACTACATGGCAGGCATTTGCAGAGCAAGCAGAGTTGGAATTTGCTATGGACGAAATGCCGATGATCTTCCTACGCCTGAAAAAGCTGTGCAGCTCATTCAAATGCACAACATCAAATATGTAAGGATATACGACTCAAATATTCAGGTCCTCAAGGCCTTTGCGAATACTGGAATTGAGCTTATGATTGGAATTCCAAACTCAGACTTGCTGGCGTTTTCTCAATTTGAGTCTAATGCCAATACATGGTTAAAAAATAGCATACTTCCTTACTATCCAGCCACGAAAATCACTTACATAACCGTTGGTGCTGAACTCACGGAAGCCCCTAATACTACAGCTGCTCTGGTGGTACCTGCAATGCAAAATGTGTTTACAGCTTTGAAAAAAGCTGGTCTTCATAGGAGGATTAAAGTCTCTAGTACCCATTCATTGGGTGTATTATCCCGATCATTCCCACCTTCTGCAGGGGCATTTAACAGTAGTCACGCCTCTTTTCTAAAACCGATGTTGGAATTCCTTGCAGAGAATCAGTCACCTTTTATGATTGACTTATATCCGTATTATGCATATAGAGATTCTTCTACCAATGTGTCCCTAGATTATGCTCTATTTGAGGCATCCTCTGAAGTGATTGATCCCAACACTGGTCTACTTTATACGAACATGTTCGATGCTCAACTTGATGCTATTAACTATGCTTTAATGGCTCTAAATTTCAAAACAGTTAATATCATGGTCACTGAGACAGGCTGGCCATCTAAAGGATCACCAAAAGAGACAGCTGCAACACCAGATAATGCACAGACTTACAACACAAATTTGATACGACATGTTATCAACAATACTGGAACTCCTGCGAAGCCAGGAGGAGCAGTTGATGTTTATGTTTTCTCATTGTTCAATGAGAACAGGAAGCCTGGTTTAGAATCTGAGAGGAACTGGGGTTTATTTTTCCCAGACCAGACAAGTGTATATAACCTTGATTTTACCGGTAAGGGTGTTGTAGACATGACTGCAGGTGGAAACAATACCGGTTCAAATGGAACGTGGTGCATTGCCTCATCTTCTGCATCTGAAGCTGAACTTCAGAATGCCTTGAGTTGGGCTTGTGGTTCTGGAAATGTAGACTGCTCCGCTATACAACCTAGCCAGCCTTGTTTCGAGCCTGATAACTTTGCATCACATGCTTCTTTTGCGTTCAACAGTTACTACCAGCAAAATGGAGCTACTGACATTGCTTGCACTTTTGGAGGAGTTGGCGTTAGAACAAACAAGAATCCAAGTATGTAGACAGACTGACTCATTTCATTCTCTTCTTTTAATGCATGTTTATACCTTGATCAACTCTTCACAGATCAATTAGACTAGGTAGTACTAGATCTTGTAAATGTAGAATTACATCTCTATTCTACATCTCTTTGCCTTAAAGTGTGTAGTCTATCAATCTTCTTAGAGCATCAAACACAATAAGTCAAAAAATCAGATTTGACCAACATCAACCTACCCAATGTAATCCCATAGGTGGGATCTGCAGAAGGTTGTACACAGATTTACCCCTACCTCGTGGAGGTAGAGAGGCAAACCTGAAAGACCCCTCAAGGTACATACATTTTAACTGTCAAATTTCAAAATGGCTCATGGTTAGTTCAGTGTCGATTGTTAGTGTAGTCCATTTGCTGTAGAAGTACAATAACATTACCAGTTTCAAAAAAAAGCTACAAGGTCTATTTTATGCTGCTACCTGGATGTTGTCAGTATGTAGACAGATGTAGCTGAGTGATATTAACAATTTTAGTTTGATGACGTTCCTATGTTGGTAAATTTGCTGATTCACAAACACTACTTCAGCTGCATATTCTGAAGTAGTCATGTACCGTATTTCAAGCAAAGATGTGCCAGATATCTTCTTCCTTGTGTTTGAAATCTAGTCTGACAGCTCTTTCTCAATACAGGTTATGATAACTGTCTCTATGCGACAACTGGGTATGTACATCTAGCTAAATCATTATTCAACTACACACACACACACACACTAGTGTATTCTTGCCCTCCTCAGATAGTAATGTTCGTTTTCTGATTTTAAAATTCACAGGGGTAAAAAAGCTATCGTTAATAATACAACCGTTGGTCCTTCCAAGTCTTCATCATCATCCCCTCAAAGGGGTTATTGGTGGACTCAACATCTACTTGTGGCTTTTCCTTTGTTCTTTCTGGTACTCTTCTGAACATGTCTCGGATGAATAGAACGATGCCTATTCTGGAATGAAAAAATGTAAAAGCAGGATAATGCTAGGTGATATAAGTTTCCCTTGAGAAGGCTCAAATGTGTTGGAGCCAAGGATGCTTGGGTTATTGATGCAGATATCATCTATACTGCACAAATTTTGTATGATAGCCAAGGTAGAGATCCTTGGTAGATGTAAAATAGAAGATATTTCCAGTCATTCAAACTGTGGAAACATTTGTAATCCATCTTGTTTGTGATTGGCTAGCAAACTTGGTACTAATTCATTTTAGTTAAATCTTTGTAATGAAGTTTTCACAAACTTTTCTCATGCATCAAGTATTTGGAAAGCAAGTTGCAGATCATGGTCCTATATATATCAGAAAAGTTGGTCTGTTTTAAGTCAGTAAGTTGTCTACATCTCATCCCTTGAGGTGTGGCTCCTCTGACCCTGCTAACACAATGTTCTATGCACCATGTGGTCCTTTTTATTTAAGAGGAAATATCTCTCAATAGTTTTCAATCTTAACTGCTCTATGCTGGGGAAAGCTGTCCTTTTGAATAAGGTGTGGCCTAAGTCAAAGAAATATGTACAATTTGCCTAGCTGGGACTGAGGTTGAGGTGTATCATGCTTGGTTGAATTATAGTTGGATACAACATTTTGGGGGTGCTAAAAAAGGGGATCAAGAAGAGGATTAGTGAATCACCCCTACTATTTTTGGCTTAACGAGGTTTTAGTCTTTTAGAAGGCACCCCCTAGCCAGATTCAATCCCTAGGGTCAACCAAGCCCTTGAAATTAGTGAAGAGGAAAAAACATCAAGAAGAGGATGATGAGTCAATCACCCCTACTATTTTTGGCGCAATGAGATTTTAGTCATTTAGAAGGCACCTCCTTGCCAGATTCAATCCCAAGGGTCAACCAAGCCTTTGAAACTAGTGAAAATATTCGTCATAGTCAGAGTTCCTGATTCAACGAGACTTTCTTAACTTGTCAAACTTTCTCTCCTTCACTAGGAAAGTTATCCGGTAAGCAAGGTCTTTGATTGATGTGCCTGATTTGTGGTGGTGGTGGTGGGGTGGGTGGAGGGCATCTGATTTAAGGGGTTGTGAATACAAAATACACAGAAACAGAAGCTAAGCATGTCTGAAAAAGATTTTGACAGATAAAATCCAGGAGCTGTATATTACACAAGCCAATTTTTGTGCAAAGTGAAATCCATTTATAAGGTACCAACAATCATTCCCCTCTCAAAAATAATCAGAGGGTCTCACTTGAAAATAATTTAAACCAATTCTTGCAAAATCAAAATACAAAGAGAGAACTGTTGAATCCAGAAAGGTATCATATCTACCACTTCCCAACTCTTGAGTATCCATCATCAGCAAACACCACAATCTTCAATACAAACATATTGAAAGGAAATTCTGCAATCATTTCAAATGAAAGCAGGTAATTAGAAAGTCAATCTTGCATAAGAAAATACCCAAAAGAAATAGCAAAGGTGGATAACACTTACCAACAAATTAATAACCTTGCTCAACGAGATAATCGCCGAGCCTCTCAACAACCAGGTTACACTGGCCGGGAGTCATTGGTTCATCATAGATACCAAAAAGTAGAGCCTGACCAGTCTTTTTGATAGTAATACCACCCGGTCCCTGAACAAAAAAAGAATGGAGTGTCACGAACAGCCACTTGAAGTAAGGTTATGACCTTTCCACATTTGATTCAGTTCAATTCATCTCCAAATAAGTATTAACTTTCCACAACTTTCTGAAATGTAACACGGATTCTGGTTGTTTAACAGAGAAGATCCTGAAGTACTACATAACACCCTCAACGAACACTAGATAAGTTGCATAGTAAGAAAATCACATAATTATGCTCTGCATTGCTTGAACAGAATGCACAACCTATTGTCTGCAGTTTCAATTCAACAAGATTCTGAATGTCATAAAAGATACCTTCTTTCCTCGAATGACAACCCCAGATTCCCCTTGAATGACCATGTACTTTGAGCCACCAAGATGCAGGCCAGTTGGAGCAAGTGAACCGGGTTCATTAAAATCATTCAGGATAGCGTCAATCTCTGAGGGTTTGAACTACACCAGCATGGATATCGATAAGTTGCAAAATCTTTGTAAATGAGTCAAGATTGTAAAATTAGAAGGCAAACATATTTATAAATAACTTGCAATTGAATAAAAAAACAATTGTTCTTGTCTATTCACAACATTAGTGTATCAGCATCAAGTCTTTATCGCACATTCCTCAGTAGTTCTTCAATAGAACCCAACATTGCCTTTATTCAAAACCATTTTCAATCAACCATTTCACTTGGTCCAAGACTAGTCAAAATCATCTATATATATCGATTCCTACCATCTACTTATCGAGATCAACTCTTTGCTCTTTACCACATTTCTAAGTAGTTCTTCAGTGACACTCAACATTGCTTTATTCAAAACCATTTTCAATCAATCATTCCATTAGTCCAAGCTGGTCAAGATCAACTATAAAAATCCTCTATATCGATCCTACCAACCACATCAAGATCAACTCTTTACCACATCTCTCAGTAGTTCTTCATCAGAACTCACTATTATCTTTGTTCGAAACCATTTCCAATCAATCAGTTCGCTCAGTCCAAGCTAGTCAAGATCATAAATCCTCAATATCAGATCATACCATCTACTTATCAAGATCAAGTCTTTACCACATCTATTAGTAGTTCTTCATCAGAACTTAATATTATCTTTGTTCAAAACCATTTTCAATCAATCATTTCACTTGGTCCAAGCTAGTCAAGATCATAATCCTCTTCATCGGATCCTACCATCTACTTATCAAGATCAAGTCTTTACCACTCAACATTGATTTTACTCCAAACCATTTTCAATCAAATCATTCCACTTAGTCCGAGCAAGTCAAGATCATCTATATGAATCAAAACCATTTTCAAACAAATCATTCCGCAGAATCCAAGCTAGTCAAGATCAAGTCCTCTATGTCGGTCCTACCATCTACTTATCAAGATCAAGTCTTTACCACTCAACATTGATTTTATTCCAAACCATTTTCAATCAATTCATTTCGCTTAGTCCGAGCAAGTCAAGATCATCTATATGAATCAAAACCATTTTCAAACAAATCATTCCACGGAATCCAAGCTAGTCAAGATCATAAATACTCTATATCGGATCCTACCATCTACTTATCAAGATCAAGTCTTTACCACTCAACATTGATCTATTCAAAACCATTTTCAATCAAACCATTTCGCTTATTCAGAGCAAGTCAAGATCAGCATATAAATCAAAACCATTTTCAATCAAATCATTCTGCAGAATCCAAGTTAGTCAAGATGATAAATCCTCTATATCGGATCCTATCATCTACTTATCAAGATCAAGTCTTTACCACTCAACATTGATTTATTCAAAACTATTTTCAATCAAATCATTCTGCAGAATCCAAGTTAGTCAATATCATAAATCCTCTATATCGGATCCTATCATCTACTTATCAAGATCAAGTCTTTACCACTCAATATTGATTTATTCAAAACCATTTTCAATCAAACCATTTCACTTATTCATAGCAAGTCAAGATCAACATATAAATCAAAACCACTTTCAAACAAATCATTCCGCAGAATCCAAGCTAGTCAAGATCATAAATCCTCTATATCGGATCCTACCATCTACTTATCAAGATCAAATCTTTACCACTCAACATTGATTTATTCAAAACCATTTTCAATCAAACCATTTCACTTATTCAAAGCAAGTCAAGATCAGCATATACATCAAAACCATTTTCAATCAAATCATCTCACAGAGTCCAAGCAAGTCAAGATCATCTACTAATATTCTTCCAAAATTCCCATCAAACTCAACCCTCACAAAAACAAATCTAATCCAATAAAAGACAACACATCAAAACCAATAACAATAATATCTCTTTCAGTATTCACAAATCACCCAAATAGTCATACTAAATTCTCCACAAGTCAAGTACTTCATCCTTGAAAGAACTAAAAAATCAAAAAAGAAGTACAAAAACAATCAAATCCACAACAGATAAAATGACAACATTCTTTCAATCACCCAAAAAAAGATCCTAGATCAGATTTAAACAAACCAATCTGAGTTCAACATCAAATCCAATTGAACAAAAAAACATTTTTTTTACTAAATAGATCTTTCAATCAATCATCTTCCTCTCAGAATCACGTCGATTTCTTAGATGCTCACTCAACCAATAGTTATCATCCTGAAAGTCACCATTCTCCTTGCTTCCAATATTATTGATTTTCTTAAACAATAACTATTAGTTGAGTAAGCACCCGAGAAATCAACTAAATCTCAGAACCCCAAATCAGTCAAAGATCCAAATTTTTTCACAAAATCATTTCAAAAAAAAAAAAAAAAGACCTGAGGGAAAGTTGAGCTTTTAGCCCAAACGGCGCCGTCAAGGCCGATGATAGCGGCGGCGCTAAGGTGGTTCCCTTCGATGTCACACATGAGGTGGTCATCGACATATACTTGCCACGACATGATTTTCCGATGAGGTTTTTTTGAGGATTTTTTTTAAAAAAAATTTATTGGAAAATTTTTGTGCTCTGTGTTTGTTGATAGAACAAAATGTGTGATGAAATGGAAAATTATCATGGGAATTTATTTAGATGGGGGTGTACTTTCATGGCATTTTGGAAAAGACATAAATGCCCCTGAACCCATATTCCGGAAGAATCGAGACCCGGTAAGAGAAAACTTACAGAAATTTCACTAATTAAGATATCTCAGATTTTACCAGATTTTGATGTGTTTCGCTACGTGTATCTCGGGATATATGGGGTTAAATTTAGGTGGAATGAATTATAGATATACTTTATCCAAGTAGATTCGGATGTATTTGGGATACATAGACAAATATTCGCTTACCTCCCATGTCATTCGCTCGCCACTCTCCTGTGTATATGGTATCTTAGATCTATGTGAATCACATCAGATACATATAAATGCCCCTGAGCCCAGGTTTCGGAAGAATCGAGAGTGGGTAAGAGAAACTTACAGAAAATTCACTAGTTAAGAGCTAATATCGCAAATCTTACCAGATTTTGGTGTGTTCAGATACGTGTAGATACATGTATCTCAGGATATATAAAGTTAAAATTAGGTGGAATTAGTTATAGATATATTGCATCCAAGTGGATTTGTATGTATTTGGGATAGATAGACAAATCTCCTTCGCTTACCTCCCATGTCGTTCGCTCGCCACTCTCCCATGTAAATGGTATTTCAAATATATGTGTACCACACCAGA